TTTTGATAGTACAAAAAAAAAAAATTGATATAAACAAAAAAAAGGGTTGATCTGTGTAACTGGGAACCGATCTTAATTGGAAGGTGATCGGAGGCCGGGTTTTCACGTGACCCGGAAAATCTCACCTACATCCTGGATCTGTCTTTTAATCCTAACACCATTAGTTCTAAGCATCTTAATTTTTCTTTATCTACAGAACTAATAAATATTCTTCTATGCCATCTCATCTTTTTTATCTTCATTCTCTCAATTAAGTTATTCTTCTTCTACCTCATTCTCTTTATCTTTATTCTTTCAACAAAATCATTCTTGTCTCTGAAAAATAAACTATTAGCTAAAATCTATGCTCTAATAAGAGAAAATGGATTACTAAAAGAGGAATTTGAAACATTCAAAAATCCTGGCACCTGCTCACTAAAACTAGCTCTCAAGTATCCTACTCCTTGAGTTTCAACACAAAGCAATAAGTAAGAGTCCAATCAACCAAAAAAAAGAAAGACTATGCCATTTTCCAAACTCCTTACTAATGAAGAGAGAGTCTCTAAATACATTAAAAGAAATAGAAGATTTAGCAAAAAACAAGGCAAAAAATATTAAAAAAAGAAAAGAGGCTGCCCAAAACATGCTAATCATGAAGCAGAGAAAGCATGCAAAAAAGTCAAGAGGGGGCAAAAAAAGGAAGAATGGTTATGTAAAAAAAAATAAGGCATTAATTAGTCATTAATTAGTCGTTAATTAGTCATTAATTCATGTAAAATTCTTGAGCTTTACCATATATATTACAACACATACTATCCGATGTTAATTCGACATGTGCATAATACCCTCCACTTTAAAAGTAATAACAAATTTTTAATAAATGTAAAAATTCAAATTTTGAAGTTTTTTATTGCTTACTTTGAATTTTTTTTTGTATCAGAAGAAAATAAATTAGATAATAAATATATTTTAATAAATTTTAAGAACAAGTAAATTTTTCTGAAGGTGCGCCAGAATACCTCCCCCTTACGTATATTGATTGTGATGAAGTATAGAGTGCAAATAAGGAAGGTGTGCACTTATATATAATATATACGGTATGTAGAGGTTTGTCTGTAATTAGTACAGCAATATTACATGTGCCAAGAGCATAGGTACCGGTATTTTTCTAGTTTCATAATTACATTACATGAACATATTGTAGAATAAAGTATAGAATATTAGTCGCGTGAAACATTATAAATCATCATATTCTGTTCAGCATTGTACTGTTTTGATAATTATTTATTACATATACGGCAAGTTGAAACTAATGAAATGATGTATTTATCTAGTTATTTACGAATTATTTAAATACGTATATTATTATTATATTGTTAACTGTACACGAAATATTCAACACGGAAGTATTCATAATGTATATCAATACAATGTCATAAGCTAAAATGACATTATCGATAAACTGGTTATAATTTAGCTATAAGGCTTAGATAATTTGTAATATATCTCGGTGATAAGCAGATCTCGGCTGATAGAAATTAAGCCTTTATACAATAAGGTGAGTTTGTTAAGCCTCATTAGTCCTTTAATGTTATATAAAGGACGTAACTTAGATAAGGTTGGTTACGACACTTATGTGCGAGAAAGGGTCACACTGCATAAGGCTGGCCGGCTTTGATAAGCTACCACGAAATGGTAGATTCTACGTGGATTCTATGTGAATTCACATGGATGGGAGAGTTCTGGTGCAAAATTTGCTTCTAGCGGAGATGATTGCGGGTCTGCTTGTGTGCGTCTTATTATACTTGCCCCTGAAGTTGGTTTCCCACTGTAATTTTAAATTAATCAACTCATTAAATTCTACGTACGTACGTACGGTGTTATCCCTAAGCTGATTCTGGTTTAACCGGATTGCCTCCCGTTTCGCTATCTTTTCAATCTGTTTGATTACGTATGTCAACTTGAATGATCAAGTGCAGAAGTGTACGTACGTACGTACCATTCATCATTTTGGATCCGGTTATGATTACTATATTAAGCAATATGTTCTTAACTACGTACTATTTCAGTATTTACACAGTCAATAAAAAAAATAACCTTTTACGTATGTGTAGAAATTATGTAATAATCTTCTGATTCGTTTACGAACAAAATATTAGAGAATTCAAGTTTATCGTCGTCTTATTGTAAATTTTATCAACTACTCTGGAAATTACAACCCATCATTTTTGTATTGCATCTTGAAATAATCGATGGATTTGACTGGTAATTCTCTATTACTAACACTTAATATTTATGATGCCTAATATATTGTTTGCACTTTATTTAGAACATTATCTAGAGTTTGCCACGAAACTAGCTCAACAATGTGGGCAAATAATTCTTGAAGCATCAAAAACAAGATATACTACTGGTAATAAAGTATATGAGAAGTTTGGTCAACAGACAGATTTAGTTACTGAAACTGATATAAAAGTTGAAGAATTAATCAAATCAAAACTGAAAGAAAAATTTCCGGATCATATGTAAATAGTTTATATATCAATATATTATCGTGCATGATTATCTTATTTCGGTTTAAATATACAATTAAACTAATATGAAACTTAAAGGTTTATCGGAGAAGAGACGAAAGCTGCTGGAAATCATTATGAATTTACAAATGAACCAACATGGATTATTGACCCAATAGGTGTGATTATGTGTCTTCTAACTAGAATTATTCATATATAATACTAATGCAAATTTAATTATTGTAGACGGAACAACTAATTTTGTTCAAGGGTAATATAAATTTGTTCTTTCTTATTTATGCAATAATAATTATATTTATTTTATTTTCTATTATAGCTATCCTTTTGTTGCTGTCTCAATTGGGCTAGCTATTAATAAAGAGCCTGTTGTTGGTGTCGTGTTTAACCCATTCCTCAATGAAGTGAGTTATATATTTTATTAATGTTTATATATATAATTATAACATGGAATGCCTTTATAGCATTAATTATGTCACACGATGGTGTTGGCCGATGACCTTAAATGACCTACGTACGTACGTACGTGACCTTTATGATCTGTCATAGGTCATCAAAGGCTGATATGATATGACTTTATGATCTTTTAAATCATTAAAAATATATATTTTAATAGTGTTTAATATGATTATATGACCAAGGGCATACAAAAAAAAAGTGGTACGGCTTAGGTCATCGACCAACGCCGATACGGCAAGCCAAATTTTTACAATCACCCCAAGACAATTGCTTATTTTTGTAATTTTTTAAAAATGAACTTATTAAAGCTATTTACTGCTCGTAAAGGTCATGGTGCATTTTTAAATCATACAATTAGACTTCCATTGTCCCATCCATATCCTCCGCCTGTGCTGCCATTTAGTCTTTCTCAATGTTTAGTAGCTTACGAATGTGGTGGTGCCGATAGATCGGATCTAGTCCTTAATAAAAAGATTAATTCTGTACAAAACTTATTAAGATCGCCTGGAGAAGTTTCTTGGAGTTCCAAAAAAGCTGGATCAGTACATGGAATTAGAAATGTGGGTTGTTGTACTATGAGTATGTGCTATGTGGCCAAAGGTTGTTTGGATATTCATTTCTCAATTGGATGTTGGGAATGGTTTGTAAAATTTTTTTCATTGCTATCAACTAAAATTTTTTATTTTTTATTATATTTTCTATAACGTTATAATTTATTGTATAGGGATGTTGCGGCAGCTCTCGTTATTCTTATTGAATCAGGGGGTATCATGGTTAATGATCACGGGTTTGATAAAGGTACAGTAGACATTTTTGGTCGCAAATATATAAGCATTAGAGGTGGTTCACCATGTGATGGTGATGAAAATTCTAAACAAAGTCAATTACGCCTTGTTAGAGAAATGTTGGACGTTGTTGAAGAAATTGATTGCCCAAGATCTTAATTGTTATTTATTCATTAAACATATAATTTATAATCTACAAATCATATCTTCTAATTATTTTATAAATAAGCAAGATTGTAATTATCATAAATAAAAGTTAAAATCCGATAATTTCGATATTTCTGATATTCTAAATATTATAATGTGTGTGACACGAAGTGTTACTGTCAAGTCTCATAAAAAATTAATCCACAAATTCTGTTTCCTCTACATGAATCCAATAGTTTATAATGTTTTCAAATCTGATGACCTCTCAATACTCAACAAAATCTGTTCTGTTCACCACGCATGTCGGTTTTGAGAGGTTTAACAGTAAGTACCTTTTAATGAAACATTCAATTATTTTATTGGGATACATTGTGATCTAGTTATTTAAATATATTCGAAGTGCATTAATGATATTTACGTAAATTCACGAATTTAAATACTGCCAAACCTTCCTAAACCGATATGCATGGTGGACAGATTTTGTATCAGTATTAAAGAGGTCATCAGATTTGAAAACATTATTAGATTCATACAGCGTTAAGAGACTTGATGGATTAATTTTTTTATTAAAAATAATTTATCAATTAATCGGTTGAAAAATTTTGAATTTAGATATCTAAAGTTGATAGATACTTTAGATATTTAAAGAAGCCACTTCAAGTAGCCACTTCAGATTGGGTGATTACTTCAAACATTTGGAGTAGATATTTAAAGTAGCCACTTATCTGAAGTTGTTTTATATTTCAAAAATTGCAACAAAAATACGTATAACTAATTGTCGCACCCATGATCGGTTCTCCAAAGGTTGCTGGGTTCCCAAGTACGTAGTAAGGGGAGTGATTATTGAAGAAGGATCGTGATAATAAATAAAAATAAAAAAAAATAAAAAATAAACACTAAGCTAAATTAATAACGCATATATGATAATAAGCAAATGTAAACAATAAGCTAAGGGCACTTAAGAGAATAAGTTCGCGTTTACCGTGGTCACGGGTATCATCGATCAGGTCACGGGTAATCGATTATCCGTGATCGATCGGGTAGTAATCAGAAGCTATGATGTGAATTATGATGGACTTAATTTAAGAGTTAAAAATATGTATATAAAAGACCGAAAATAAAGAAAAAAGGAAGTTAGTTCTTCTCTTCCATTTTTAAGAAAAATAAAATTACAAAAGTCATTTACTTTCGCTCATCATACAAATATCAAATTATTCGTTCACATTTAAGATAAATAAGAAACGTTAAATAAAAGGATACTTTCCTCAGGGGATGTACAAATGACGTACAGTTAGACCTCTCTAAGTGCACACCATTGGGACCACACTTTAATAACGTGCATATAGAGAATAATAAGAAAAAGTGCATTTATGAAGATTAAGTATATATTTGGGTCGGCATTGAGCATGCATTAGAGAGTGTGTGCACTTATAGAGAGTGCACTTAGAGAGGTCTGACTGTATTGAGAAAAAATTTGATAGTTCCGGCGATTTAAAAGATCTCTAATTAGTGGTCGGTACTAATCTTAATACTAATTAGAAATGGTTGCATTAATCGTTAAAATAATTATTAGTTTATTTAAGAGTGAATAACAGATCAAGATTACTAATATTAGGTGTGCGAGAGTAATTAAATATCCATAGGTTTATATTCCATTGGATATTTCCAAATTCTATCTCTGATATGTATGAATTCATCTTTCAAACTAATAAAAAAAACGTAGAAAGATTCAGTAAATCTAGGTAAAAGACTAATAAAAAGCTAAATGAAGCCTAGCAATTGCAATCGAAATAGCAATAGCGATTTAAGATATCTTTTTGTAAAATAAAATGGATGAATATTTCCTTTCCTAGAATGGCAAGGAAACTTTACTGCAGACCTCTGCACCATAACAGAATGGGTCAGCCAAAAATTATAAATCCCTAAATAAATAAATAAAATTATAAAAAAAAATCAAATAAAAGAAGAATAAAGTATTATTAGCTAATTAATTAACGCAAATTAAGATTTTTATGTTTTTATCGCAAAACTTTTCTATACATGGCAAATTTTTTTACAAATTACTAGACAAATTAAATAAAATCTTTTAATATTTGTTTAATCTAGTTGGTAAACAATGAAAGAGAGTACGGATACAGTCTTTTAAGCATTGTTTTTAAAATCAATTTATTTTTAAAATCAAAATTCATTGAATACTGTAGATAAATAAAATTGTTAAACATATATTTTACAAAAAGTTTTCCAAAACATTCGCTAAATAAAATTATATCAATTAGATATCAAAGTGTAAAACAAGAGATTGAAACTATCGTCTAATTAGCCCTCCAAGAAAACCTCCAGCAACACTTCCAACAAGATCTTTCACTGAATCCCAAAAGCTAGGTTTCTTTTCGAGAGTACGAATGAGTTGATCTTGCATATTATTTAATCTCGACTGGCAATCTTCTCTAACTTGATTAAGCATCCTTTCGTGTAAAATCCTCTGCCTGTCTACTCTGTTGTTCCTGATTGCGAAGACATTCTTCCATGCCCTTTACTTTTTCTTCAAGTTGATTCTGAACTTTTTCATTTTCAATCTTAACATTATTTATTTCCGCTTTTAATTGTTCTTCTTCCTGTAAAATTTCATAATATTTCTTTTCAGCTTCTTGACGTGCCAACATTTCATTTGCACGTTCTTCACGCAAGATACCATAGGTATTCAAGAGTTTAATGGCATCTTTATATTGGTTGGTTTTAAATTCGTTTAGCACCTAAGTTATAGCAAAAATATGGCATGATTTAAATACTAAAGTAATGTTATTAACGATTAAAATAAATATATACTTACTTGTATAGCTTCCTGCCCTGGCATTACTTTGGTTTCATAAGCTTGTTCAAACAACGCAATTGCTTCTTCAAATTGGTCTGTATCCTGTATAAATAAATATGGTACATTAAATTCATTAAATCAAATCAAATCAAAAATTTTTAAATAAAAGATATAAAATTACAAAAAGATTTTCAACTTCCAACCCATGCGCAACATGCTCTTTCCAGAGTTTATGTGCCCATCCTTCATGATATTCTCTCATGGCAGAAGAGTTTTTCATGTAAAATTGATCTTTTATATCGGTAATTTTATCACGAAACGTTTTTTGAAAAGTCTGAATTTGGTCAACACTTCCAATGATTTGTTGAATGAAATTTTTAAGCGCTTCTTCAAACGCAGTATTATGAACATCTTCAAACTTATCCCAAGAAATCGGAAACCCCTCAAGGCTCATATGGTCCATCATCTCATTATAAAGTTCAAGGCAAGATTCATATGCTTTTTGAGCAGCATAACTAATAGTAGCTTCATATGCGCTTGGAATAGATAACATAGTATTTGATGGATCATTTATTTGTACAACGCATCTCTCAAGAAATTCAGCAAATGCTACTCCTGTCATTGGCGAAGCATTAAGATATTTTGGATGCAAGTCATCAAAAATATTTGTTACAGCTTCTTCAATTTTTTCAACAAAACTTGGATCCAATTGATCTGTATCAACTTCACTCATGTTTCTCATTGCATCTTGTCGAATGCCTGGGTGCTATTTTAAAGTTATTTAATGATATTTTTTTTTAGAAATATTTTAAAAAAAGAAACTTGAAAACATACTGGAATTCCATAAACGTTGAATTTTTTAAAAAATTTTGTAATGTCTTTCGCAGCTTGTTAAGGTATAAAATATATAATTAAATTAGCTATATTAACAATACTGCACTCGACAAAAATATTTAAATTTACCATCTTCATTAACTTTTGATAATCTGTTAAGAAAATATTCCACAAAGTCAGGTGGACTATCTAGTTGGAAGTCTCGAAGGAGAACGACCAAATTTGGCAAAAATTTATGATCATTTGGTGGTTGAATAAGAGATACAATTTTTGTCATTAGGAATAACTTTTCGATATCATCTCTTCCAATAATTCCATTAATATTGTATATTAGTGTTGACGAGATGGCCAAACATAGTATAAAAAGCTTATTCGCCCACGGAACTTCCTGGTTGGGATCATCAATTCCCTCACAATCAATAACAACTACACCTAAATTTATATACCGATACAGTATGTGTTGCATAATTTTTTAATGTTAATACAGGGGTGGTATCATTCCCATCGTTAAATATCACATGGCTATTGTCACATTGAACCGCAACGTACGTACGTACGTACGTTAGTAGATCGTATATCTGATATGTAATCGGTACAATGTGACAAATAATTGATAATAACTCTCAACATATTTACGGTAAACTTACGTTTGTCCTTATGGTAAAATGGAGTATCCCAAATATCGATACCTTTCGTGCACCCATCTACTGATGAGCCAAGTTTGAATCCATCATGGCGCCCAAGAAGAGTGTTTGCAAAATATGATTTGCCTCTTCGGTAAGAGCCAACTTTGTAATTTGAATTGAAATTAATATAACATTTTATATACATTATAAAAAATCATTCATTATGCCATAACCTACCAACTGTTATAACCGCAATAGGCTCTTGAATTTTTTTCAAAATTCTCAATGCTTGTTCATCTAACAGAACTGCTCCACTATCATCACCTAAACTCATATAATTCAGAAGGTGTGTAGGATTTCCTGGGCGAAATGGAATTGTTTTAGAAAATGGATTTGGAGACATTATTATTTTTGCTTATGAAAATAATCGTTTGAAATTTATGATAATTTTCAATCTAATTTTATAGTTTTTCACTGATACTAATGCAATATGTTGATTTTTACCATAAACTGATACAATGGAAATTAAGATTTACGGAATTCTAAAATTTTTTTTACAAAAAATTTAATTGATTTACCGATGATCGCTACAAACATTTTATTTTGTCTCGGAGTTTTATAAGAACAGCTGTACCTTATCGATTCGGCCGGATATTCTCATTCGGACATCTGATTAAAGTACGTGCGTACATATATACATAACTAGTATTTTATATTGCTAAACCGAGAATAATATGAACTATAATGGTTTATTTGAAATGGGTAGCAAAGCTACCCACTTGCGCAATCTTTAGCTGCTAGCTTATTGATGCATAGCTTCACATTGGAACTATTTTATATGAGTAATGTCATATGAAACTAGTAGTCATAGGTAAAAAATAATGTATATTTTTAGAGAAAAATATTTTAAAAAATATAATAAATATATTTAAAAATAAATTATTGTGGTAATATACAAATATATATTGGAATTATAAAATATTTATACTAGTATAGTAATAATTAATTAATATTTAGTACAAATTACAGTATTACTTATTTCTATATATTTTCTTTATATTATCTAATAAATTTACTATATATTCATTATATATTTATTAGAAAATATATTTATATTACTATAAAAATATATAATTAATATTTAGTATAATATTTAATTAATTTACTATATATTTATCCTATCTTTGCTGAAACCTTCGATTTTTGCTAAATATGTTTACAAGATTGCTACAAGATTG